CGATTTTCAAAATCTTATTCGAGTCCACAGCCAAGTACGTAGCCATCTCGGAGACTATCTCCGACAATCTGAGTAAAAACAAGTATTGATAATGATTTATCTGTACGCTAACTAGATTGCTTATATACGCCAGCCCGTGAATATCGGCGGCTGAAGGCTTTTCTGTAGCTGAGGAGTCCATGGTAAAGTGACACCATAGTGTTAAAGGAAACGCATCCAGAAACGGTACAGGTCGATTCTGACCGACGGCACGTGCTCCGAGAAAATCTCCCCACACAGGTTCGAAATTGCAGCACCACACATCCTTCGCCTCCGTCCACAAAAGCTCTCTGCTCATCTGACGAAGTAGCTCGGTTATAGAATTGCTACTGAAATTCGACGGTATTTGCCTAATATTATCGTTGCCTGAAATACGAGAAAAAGAATGTAGAAACCAATGAGAGATCCGAGCACATTACGGCCGTTTACGAAATACGTACCTCCGCAGTGCGCTATGAATTTATCCGTTACTACGTGAAAATCTCCGGATTTACTCGGAAACTCTGCACCGAAGAACATCTGCCCCATCTGAAATGCATTTAGACATTGCGCCAGGTCCGCTCTCGAAGATCTTTCCGTTGACCGAACGTTTGTTATAGATGCTCTGGAAGTTTGAAGATGCAAGGACTTCGGTCTGTCTTTCTGGTTTGGATAATCCTGCTGACTTTCGAAAACTATCTAAAAATACATATTTCGATGCTGTTAAAACAAGAATGTCGCATGATATTTAAGACATATACAATACTAATACATTCTAACTTACTCTTGGAAGTATAGCCTCTATCTTTACATCAAAGTACATCAAACGCGAAGGATTCAGCTGCTTGTTTTTACCCATCAGAGAATGATGAAGATTCAATGCAAAAGAATTAAACCAAAGGCACGAGCACACATCAAAGTTTATTTGAATCGGATTAAGTTGTACATAAAACTTGGGCGGTGGTACTACAAAATCATACATTATTTAATATATATATAAAATTGTTATATTAAATAAAACAAAATATATAAACTTGTAAATATATACTTACAAGGAAAGGTAATGTCTCCCGGATAATAGTAATATGTGAACTCAGCATGAAGTATCGTTACATCTTCTGGAAGACTGAATCTGTCCCGATCACCTAAATTTAATTTAAATAAATACAGCTAAATGGAAATAAAATAATAATCTGAAGATTCGATCTCAGACATGCGATCATAATTTTATGGATCGCAATATAACTTTCTTGAAGCATTAAAACAACATTCTCAACAATATTATTTCTCAAAAACATATAGTATAATTTTACAATAAAAACATTAGTCACAAATGATATGTAATATCAATATTTTCTCTTTTTTTTCTCTCTCTCTCTCTCCAAAATATGTGTCATTGCATATTTATTTTACAGTTAAAGATCAATTCTAAATTAATCTTAAAAAGAAAAAGAAATCAAATAAATAAAGCAACAAAATTATCCAGTCAAAATTATCCGATCAAAATAAATCAAGTTTAGCGTAAATTTCGTACGCAGCGTTACATTTACAATTGAACATACTACAGCTACTAATCTGTTGTACCTGGTGTATGCTTCTTCCTCGTTTGCGCTGTGCAATTATCAAATAAAACAATTATTGACAAACTCGATACGTGAAACATAACTATTTCGACAAACCTGATAAATAAATAACTCAAGTATTAAATATTACAATACCTGTGATAAATTCTTTTGGTATTGGATTACGCGATGTTGTCGTCACTTTGTATAAGGTAAAATCATCGATCCTGATAATAATGCACGTCGTCATTAGTTTGGCAAGTTGTTCCAAGACATAATTTTTCACTGGATTACCGCTAGGATGTTGAGACTTCTTCTGTTCAGACGGTGTCACATTCGCGTTTTGCGATTGATTATTCTTCTCTGATTGTTCTCCAGAGCTTTTTATACTGCTACCTGTTTCACACAAGATTAAATGATATACAAACTCTAACATCGATATATTTAAGTAATATAGATAGTAACAATTTATATGCACAAACCTGTTACGTTTCCTTGACTTCTTGTTAAAGGAGAATGTTGCGTTCTACCGGAATCTATGAGATCCATAAACTGACTTCGAAATTCGAAATGAGCTGAACGATTGTTGCAACCATTGGCTGTGAGGTGTGACATTCTCTTTGTATTTGGCCCAATGCTTTCTATCTGCCATCGCCAGATGGTACGGATAATAATCAATTTGAAATTTAACTAATGAAATTTGTAATGCGCCACCATCTTTCAGCTCAGGATGTAATGATCTACCTCCTGTTAAAAAAAAAAACGTAAGTATCGTGTAATATGCAGGAATCATATCTGTATTTAATTGCACATTTAAGAAATAGTTAAATTTGGACTTACCCCCAGCATCATCACATAAGTGGAGATCAATACGTTGTGAAAGAAAATGGTAAGATGTCTCTACAACGTCGTATCTTGTAAACACTTTTGATATCGGTGTATTAAATTGATTTTTTGTTCTGCTTTGTTGAGATACTTGAGCCTGATATTCTGGTAAAACCTTAAATTGTAAGAAAAATAAATTAATAAATCGCTAATTTATGTAAAAAAAAAAATAAAGTATATAATAAACCTCTAATTTCCTTGCAGCTTTGGTTTTTCGTTCAAGAACAGTTGCTTTCTCAATAAGACCACCTAAAGAATCAAGAAAGTGGAGAGCAGCTTTCAGCTGTGAGTCTGTTAATACCCACAAAAGATCATCCAGAATAATTACTAGCCTGGAGCCCATAACAAAGCAATCTGCAATGAGACAGTTCATTTAGCAATATGAGCAACATATTTACCGATTTTTATCTCAATATAATTTTCACATTTCCATTAATTTTTACAGACCTGATATCCTCTTCTTTATAGTAATTCGACATCTTGCTTGATTTGTAAGTAAACGGAGTGGTGTCAAATTCTTATCCTTAGTACTTTGGGCCTCTATTCTAACAGTTTGCCATTCTAACTCTTTAAAAATAAGTAATTGTCCTCGATCAGGATCTTTCACTCTAGTGCTTCTAAGATCAGAACGCTGCCATGTTGCTGATTTGGATTCCACCATAATCCGATTCATCTAGTAAAGTAACTTTGAATAAATGTCAAGTCTAATTGAATTTAATTACTTTGCGCAATTGTATGTTTATTATATATGCTGAACATTATAAAGGGACAACACCATTAATGTTTACCTGGACTGAGGCTATAAACGCAGGACTTTTGAATGTAACCAATACAGTATTAACAGCTACTGTTATTCCATCAATTACTTTATGTATAAAAGAATATTTTGCAGGGCCTGTATACGATGATACACCCTGCGGGGAAGACATGCTTCTTAAATCCTCACATGTTTCTACATCTATATGAACCTCATCCAAACTCTGCAAATGTAATATTTTAATTGCACTATTTGCATGTATTTTAATAAATGATAAACAACATGTAGATAAAAATTACATGTATCTTTATCAAATATTCATTTATTATGTAAAACTATTATTTACCAAAAAGATAGGAACACTTTTTAGTTTGGTCCATTGTATGCGAAATGAAACTTTATTGCACCAAGCATTAGTTAGTCTTAACCACGATGGCAGCTCTAGCAACTCTGTGAGGACTATTTCATCAAGTTCTAAGTTAGTCAGTTCTCCTTCACCTTTGAATGTACTTAAATTTATCTTATCAGCAGATAAATTTTTAGTGAACCTACAATATTTATAAAATAAGATTGACATAATGTATCATTTGCCATTAATTGCAAAAATATAATAAAAATATAATAAATGTAACTAGTGTTAACATATATATTAATTAATATTAAATATAAATTTCTATATATAGAAATTATATAGCTCTTGTTGATTCAGCTAATACACAAAGCAAGCTTTCACCAACAAGTAAAAACAAAAAATAAATCCATCACTGATGTATAATGAGGTTGTTTCAGTTGCAAAAAAAAATAGAAGGAAGGCTTTCTCCTGTTTCTCTTCCAGCTGCTTTGCGAAAGTAGTATCTAATATTATCATAACTGTGCGGAGTACGTAGAAAAACGTAATGGTCGCGTTGATAAAGGCAATTGTTTCGAAGATAAGGCGATGTAAAAAAGTGCATTATGTGACGTATGGCTCACGGAATAGGGTGAATATAATTTTGGGGTGTTAATTTAAAATCGTGAGACTGCATTCTAGATTAATTAATCACATTTACGCGAATAATACCTCGACAAGTGTTTCAGCAACTGATTTTTGATGATCGAGACCATCTTTTGATTGCGTCGGCGATCCTAATTCTTACGACGGCTAATATGTCTCATGGTTAGTTTGACACCACATATTTACGACGATCTACTCAGTGACTTTCTACAGATATATATGCTCTCGCCGAATGAAATGATCCCACCCCACCTCTGCATGAAATTTCTTCCGTAAATTATGTCGTGAAGTTAGCTATGCCGTCACGTATACACGCATGCGTGAAAGAAGTAGGCTATTGATAATATGCCGGATATCTTCAATTTTGCTTTAATTAAACGCCTAGTTGTATAGAGATATACGTTAGTTTAATTATATATTTAATTGCTGTAATTGCAGCTTATGTATTTCTTCTATTTTCTTTTTCTCCAACCTAAGGGTATATTCAGACGAACTTGCATAGCGCTTATGCATATGCACAAGGAAATGGATTGGTTCATAAAAAGATGCGCAACGAAATGGACCAATCCATTTCCTAGTGCATATTCTTATGCACTATATAAGTTTATCTGGATATACCCTAATTACGTATCAATTTTATTTCGAGTACAGATAGTGTAACATAGTACAGCTTGCAAGGAACATCTCAAGTAAGAATGCATTGGATGCACATGGTGTTAGTGTAAATTTAACCTGAAACGTGAAGCGTGGAACATACTGAATTCGCATTATATTTGTTACAATATATTGTATATATTATAAGAAATTGTGAAGTTCTTATATTATCATAAAGTAGTAACACATTCTTGGTAAGTACATTCTTGTCAATTATAATTTTATAGTTGCATTTTATAAATTTCCACAAATATATAGATTATTAAGCAAAAAATGTAGTAGAATAATGTTTTTATTACATTTAATTTCTTTTTTAAAGTGCTATTAAAACTAATTTAGTATTAAAAATAAAAGTTTTTTATTTTTCTATAAATTCTAATGTTCTAATATATATTCTAATTAATTCCTTAATTTAAAAAAAATTTTAAACTTAAAAAAAGTAGCACCTTATTTTTTTATATTTTACTATATATATTCTGTACATTAGTATTCTGAATAATATATTCGTTACAGATAAAATGCCTAAAACACACGTCACCAATAAAGCCCCGCGAAAGCAGGGCTTTAAACGCTCTGGACACAGTATGAATCCTGAACGTCCTACAGAAGGATTAAAGGGAGTTGCTAAAGTGAGAACCAAAGCAACTATTAAAAGATTGCAAATGTATCGCAATCAGAAGCCCAAACGTAATCGTGCTGGAAAGATTATTAGTCCCGCACCGTTTCAAAGCTGGAATGCTTCTGGAACCATGTCGCGCATAGAACCATCACAAAGGTGGTTTGGTAACTCAAGAGTCATCTCACAGAACGCTCTGCAAAAATTTCAGAATGAATTAGGAAGTGCTATAAAGGATCCTTATAAAGTTATCATGAAATCTACTCAATTGCCTATAACTTTACTTCAACAGAAGGCAGCAAATGCAAGAGTACATCTGTTGGATACAGAGAGTTTTGAGAGTGTTTTTGGTCCAAAGAAAGTTAGAAAGAGACCAAATTTAGCAGTAACATCGTATGACGAAATGAAGAAATTGGCTGACGAAAAGGAGGATATTTATAACAAGGAGAAAGACTCCAAAGACTTGGATCTTGTTCGGGAAGATACCGGTGTAAAGGATGCGCCAAGAGACTGGATTATGTCGGCGGGACAAAGCAAGAGGATATGGAATGAATTGTACAAAGTCATTGATTCCTCCGACGTAGTTCTGCAGATATTGGATGCGAGGGATCCAATGGGAACAAGATCTCCCCCCGTGGAAACATATCTAAAAACGGAAAAATCTTATAAACACCTAATGTTTATCCTAAATAAAGTGGACCTGGTGCCGACATGGGTCACGCAAAGATGGGTGGCGATTCTAAGCAAGGAATATCCAACA